TCCCTCCTTACCTCTAGCTGCATCTCAACTTTCCTACATGCTGATTCCCAGGACTGGGCTTCTTGATCTAGTATCCTGCATTTGCCAATATCCTTTCCTGGACACATCATTCCTACCCTGGCCCTGGACTCAGCATCGAGTCTGCTGTTTTATGAAGAATCTCCTTGAGGATGTCACCTGCCTGACTCCTGAGAATGGTCCACCCTGGAGTCCTTGATGTTGTGCTTTCTGCAGGTTCTTGAATTGCCAGGGAAAGCCTACTGCTTGCTTTTACTGAGTTGAATACATCAGGAATTTATTTAGCTTTGACTCACTGGGCTACACCACCACGAGTTTCCTTTTTAACAAGGTGATATTTCATCTCAGCTCCCCTCTCCTTGCCTTGGATTTCCGAGGAAGAATCTTTATTCCCAGTGATTTATCTCCTGAATTTTAATGTATAGAGACTATCGTCCGCTTTTACTCTTACATTTACTTTCTTTAAAAGTATTGTGAATGGTTGCCTGGCTTTCATTGCAAATTAACTATTTCACACCAGATATCATTAATTCAGAGAACATTTTACTGAGTTAATTTTAACACAAAATTTCTTGCAAAGATTGAAATGAAAAAATATGTAATTCAGGTTAGGTAATTAGGCATTATTTTGAGGCTGAACAGCATTATCTAGAAAAAAATCTGCAGATCCCAAATACCTGTATTAAATTTGTTTAATGATTTTTATAAAATTACATGAGTAAATAATTTAATTGGAGAATAAAGCCTCAAAAAGAAATCGGTGAGACACAATTAAGGTTGGATTGAGATTATAAATTGAAAATAACTACGTGTTTCCAGCAAAATGGTCTCATTTACTCTGAAGTACACTGAAGATGTATAGCATGAAAATTTTCTGTGATTCTTTTGAAGACTGAGGAGGTCAGGATTCAGTTGATGCTATAGATAAGGATTGCTTGGCTATTTATTGAAATACTTATTGGTTTTACCTTCAACATTTTGGCCTACATACAAAATTTACATAATACCAGAGTATAGGCATTAAAAATGAAAAATATTTTGATAAAGTGAGCTTTCTTTGTGATTTCTTGAATATGATCTCTTGAAACCATCGAAACCATATAAATCATGAATGATGACTTTTGGTTAAGGTCATTGAAAGACAAAATTAAGAGAAACTCTCAATGTAAGCAAAATAAACAATTTCATTGTCATGTATAAAACACAATTGTTCACTCTTTGCCTTCTCTTCCTCTTCTTTGTGAAAAGAGTCTGACTAGGAGTCTGAAGAGCTAATTGTTTCTTTCTAAATACTTTTTTTTGGAAACATTTATTCTATTATCTCAGCTATTTAATTTTTCCTGCTGTAATTAGAAATCACAATGGCTGCCTTGAAGTTTCATTGTAAGAAGTAAATAAATCAAGGAATATGAACATGCTTTGCAAACCATCAAGTCATAGATGCACATGGGTATACAGCGAGGGCAGGACACTGCTGTTGGAGCTTGGCTTGGTTCCCATCCCTGCAACCTTGGCAGCCATGCAGACCATGCTGTTTCAGGTTTGTCACTTCTAAATGAGATTGTTCTGCGTGACTTCTAAGGTCCTTCCTATTCTAGACTGATCCCTCCCATCTGGATTCCATAACAGCTTTATACAAGCAGAATTTTTTCAGAATTTGCCAATCCTCCCTGTTGGATTCATAAGATATTGCAATATGTATCAGATTTTAAGCCTTATGCTTTTTTTCCCAATGAAACAAAAACTACTTCCTATGCCAAGAAAAATTCCTACAGTAAAAAATGTTCAGTAGATACTTGCCTGAAAGGTCCTCCTCCAAATCTTTATTTTGAGTTTTACTTTATGAAGCCCATTTTATGAAGGAGCGTATTTTCTGGGCTATGACAAAGTAAATAAGTCATAGTTACAAATTTGGGTAAAGGTACTTGCTTCTTAGGAAGAAATATGCAGAATTTAAAGCAAAATAGTATGGTGACGGAACTCTGAATCTGCCTAAAAATAATTTAATGAATTTTACCTTGTAAAGGCAGATTTCAGAGGAGTATTACTTTTTCAAACAAAACTTAATCAGACTCCATAAGTAGCTAAATGGGCACAGAGTGGATGTCAGTGTACGAGAAATTATGTGGAGTTGTGTCTGTGCAGGAATTCAGGCGGGCTTGGCTTTTAGATTCTATTTTATAGAGATATTTTAGAAGGAGCTAGGTAGAACTGTGTACATATCTGAATTTAGACTTTATAAAATTTTCAGCTTTACTGAAGATCACCGTAGAAAAATCAAAATGTTCTCAATGTATACAGATGCCACAGCAGGTGTTTCCACACCTATTTTGTTTGATAGCTTCCAAGAGCTGAAGGAGATTTCAACAGCAAGTCTTGTTTGTCAGCAGATGTGCCTAAAAATAATTTTAAAAATCTTTGTAGGGAAGCAGATTCTGTTTTTTTTATTTTTTTTTGAGGAAGATTAGCCCTGAGCTAACTACTGCCAGTTCTCCTCTTTTTTTGCTGAGGAAGCCTGGTCCTGAGCTAACATCCGTGCTCATCTTCGTCTACTTTATACGTGGGACACTTACTACAGCGGGGCGTGCCAAGTGGTGCCACATCCGCACCTGGGATCCGAACCGGCAAACCCCGAGACGCCAAGAAGCGGAACGTGCAAACTTAACAGCGGCGCCACCGGGCTGGCCCCCAGCAGATTCTGTTTTTAAGGTCCAGATGTTTTCTCAGGATGACATGGAGTCTAGCTAAATGCTCTCTGTAGAAGTAAACTGTACTTCGTGCATGATTATATAAGATCATCTTCATTGTCCATGTAAAAAAAATGAAAGTTGTGGCTAATTTTTGATAAGGTGAATTATGCAAAAGTCATTTATATTTTTATACTCGGTTGTGGACATAGGCAATACAGGAAAATCGTGTGCAAGCATTGTGCGTGCACACACACACACAAACACACACATGCAAAGAAACTCAAGCACTCTTCTCTGCTTCACTCTTATTCCTTTCTGAGGTCAACCCATAATATCAGCGACCTTCTGTTGAAATAACTTGGATTTTTCCCCCAAAAGCTGCTAGGGAAAACTTCTATTAACACAAGTGTTTCTAGTCAAATATTTCTGAAATGTTTACAAATCCCTTAAGTCCAGCGATGATGGCATAATGAATGGCACGTTGTTGGGAAGACAATGCCCATGCAAAGTAGAAAAACTACCAGTTAAAAATCACAATACATCAGAAAAATGTTTTTCAAGGATAATTTCCATTTACCCATAGGTTGTTTTCATAGAAAAATTATAAAATATTCTAAGAGAGAAAACAGAACATTCAAATAATCTGTTTTAGTTTCTTCATCCTTACATTCAAGGAGTTGGACTGTATGCTAAGTTCTTTTCAGCTTTAATATTCTATGATTTTAGTTAACACAAAATGTTAAAATGTGTCCCACTGTTTCATTGAAATGGTAATAGAAAAGGTGGCTTAAAATTGCGAAGCCTGACAATAGAACCTTTGAAATTTACAGATAACAAAGGCAAGTTCCAGGGAAGAAGCGGGACGACTCCCCAGCCATACCCATCCACTAGGGTATCAACCAATGTCACTGCTTCCAAATCCCCCAATCATCAAATAGTTTGCTTTGTTTTACTAAAGATTCAGGATTCCCACTCCCCACCCCTGGAAATTCTGCTTTAGTAATTATGGGGTGAAGTCAGGAATCTACTTTTTAGAAAGTGATCCTCAATATTCTGACAAGTAGTTAAAGAAGAGAAACACAGATCCACATCAGACTCCCTGGGGTGGTGATGGAGAGGAGCAGAGATGTTGCACAGTTCTTACGCAGGCTCTCCAATATCACACAGCAGCATCTCGTTAACAGGTCCATCATTTTATGCCGCAGGCTACCACCTCCCTAGTGTTTTCTTCCCTCTAGATGAAAAGCATATTATATCAGTGATTTCATTTGGTGTCTAGATTACTTTTCTCTGATAGCTTCCTATGGAAAAGGATATCCCTGAAAGAAAGAAGAATTAAGAGCAGATCCATACCCCTTACTTACCATCTGCATCTGCTCCAACCTCACATTCTAGAAGTTTAATTCAGCTCAATTCTTGGAAACTCTCTTTATTGGAAAGCATGAATCAGTCCGTCACTATGCAACAGTCTTGAGCCTTTTAAGGCAGTCTGGGATTTGAAAATTATTACTTTACCTCAAGTTGTGGTATACAATGAAGAGAATTTCTCCAAATTGTGAAAATATATTGTAAGCAGAAGGCCTTTTGAATACTTTTGTCATAAGAATTCCTTAACCTTTTTTGTAGTAAAAGAAAAGCTTAAATAGAGTTAATGTTCTAATAACATAGGTGGTTTTATAAGAGACAATGGCGAGCAAAGTTGCTTCTAAGAGCTTCCATGTAGAATTTCAAGCTCCTCGACATTCATATTTCTGTTAGTTCTCAATACAGATTTTATGTGTTCACTATTCGCAATTTCTGGCCAAAAAAACTGTTTCTGTTTCTTATGCTACTCATGGATGCCAAAGTTTACTTTAAGGCTTTTTAATGTAGCACACTCTAAGAAATATATTATAACTCAGCTTTCAATGAAATATCCTTCCTGATTTTTCTTGTTAATAAAAAAGTGGATTAGTCTTTCATCTAGTTATTTTAGGGAAAACATCAGAAAAAAGGCAAAAGTAAATGACTTACCTTTCAATATGTATGACTCCAAATAAAGTAGCTGAACTAAAAGCTTACAATAAATTTAACAAAAAGTAGAATTCAACATAATTGAATTTCTTTTCATATCCCATTTAAGGAATGTTTGTTACTGAAGTTGACAAAATAAATTCATTACTTAGTCATGTCGTTTATAAGGCAGTCTCATGATACTGGCTCTGAGTATCAAGTATACGGTGCAAGCTGTAAGACTACCGACTGATATAGCAAAGCTTTTGTGAACATTTTATGTTTGCTTTAGAAGGCTGATCTGTTAAACCTGTGACAATTTTATTCATTGAAAAGAGAAAACAAGGAGATCAATGGTATTAGTCTATCCTCATATGGGTTAAGAAATTATGAGTTGTATATAGAAATCTACCAACGTTAGACATGTGTATAATTACTTTTCAATGGGGACCAAGGAAGCAGTTAGTTAATATACGTACCTCAAATGCCTTAAGTGGATACCTATTAAAAGGTTTACAAAATATAAATAATACTGTATATTTTTAAAAATTTTAAATAAACACAAAGAATATATAGGTATTCATGTTATAATTTCAAAGTCAACACTAGCACATAAGGTTTTCTTATCTAAATACATACTAAGTTACTTCCTATTTCAACACATGCGCCTACAAACACGTGGCCATGCACATAACCTTGCTTTTTCTGCCACTTGCAAGAAAGTTAGAATATACAATATAGTACATTGTTTCAACTTAAATCATATTGGCAAATTTCATGAGGATGGCATTAAAAAATTCTGATCTAAGAAATCAAAATAAAGGAAGATAATTATTCTATAGATTAAAAACACTGAAGACTGAGGGGAAGTTAAGATTTAAATTGTTTGTCCCAGTGATCTTGAAAGATACTGAAGAGACGATTGGCTGTAAACACTCAGAACGCTGTCTGGCAATTGGGACTTTTGTAACCTAGCAATCCAGGACAGAGACTCAGACCATCGATGCTTCAGATCGCAGAGAAACGGTATAACTGTGGGCAGTTCTCCGAAAGGCAGGGGGCGCCGATGGTGATCTGGATGCCCATCTGGATGGGAGACGGCGATTTGCTGGTCTAGCAGGTCGGGAAAATCCTCTTCCATGTGAGGATGTCACTGCCATGGATTCCTATGACACAAATGAAGACATTCATCGCACTATACAGGCACAAATAATGGGCTCAATATATTATGAATTTCAACCATGGGATTAATGTATTAGCATATTTACAGGTAAGAAAAAGTATCAAAAACTAAAGAAAATATTTGTTTAAGATTTGTGGTCTTGAATGTTTTAATCAAAGTAATTCACTTTCTAATAAGATACTTAAAATCTGTAATAAGATTTGATAAATCTTGCAGATTTCTTCATGGTGACAAATTTTAATACAACTGATCTCTTTTTAGAACTAATGAGTTGAGGATTCAAAAGTTCATGTTAGATAACTTTGATATGATAAAACTATACATGTTTCTTAGTGGGATATTAGGACATTTTAGTGTTATTTAAAAATAAAAAGATAACTTGTAAAAGAAACTGTGTACATTTATGTCAAGTTATTGATACTTTTAGAGATCATAAGCAAAAGGTACACAAATCACTAAAATAATTTACCTGACGCTTTTTTTTTGTTAAGAACCAGTCACTCTCTCTCAAAAGTTTCAAAATTATCATTAAAATATTTTAAATATAACTTCACTCTAATTGCTAATAAACGATTACTATCTATATTGGGCATCTCTGATGAGTGAAAACCTTTTCCTTCTCTTTCCTTTTCTTTCTTTCATTTCTTCCTTCTTTTCTTTCTATATATTTTAATGGAAGAAATGCATTCTTGGACCCTTGCAATTGAAAAAACTAAAAAGCCTCCAGGACACATTTTATAACTTTGGTTGTTCTTGACCTTCTTAACAAAGCCTGTGCTCTTTCATCTGACATAGGCAGTGAGGACAGTCTCTATTTCTATGACAGTAACCTGAATTTTCTTTTTATCTCTTTGGAATTTTATTTTTTTCCGTTTCTTTCCAGGGAAGGAGGTTGGAGAACTACTCCTAAGGGTCTACAGCAGAGGACCCCTCCCAAACCCCCAATTAACGTAGAAATGGGAAATATTTAGTAATATTTCTTGTTAGGTAATGAGAATTTGGGCTAGTTATTGTATAAATGTTTCCATTTGCAATCTGAAGCTACAGAAGCTTACAGGTATTTATCGGCTCGACTAAAAAACAGAGAAATAAAAAAGCAGGATAATTATTTGTACTTTGTGGAAATAGGAAAGGTTTCTGATAAAATAGATGAAAACCGATATTTTTGTTAGGGTTTGAAAGCCACATAAAAATAATTTTTTACACCAGAAAGAGGAACCTGCATAGTTTAAAACTATGCTGCATAAACACTACATTATGTAAAACTAGGATTTTCAAAGCATTGGCCAACTGTAACAATATGTCATGTTGTAACGTTCAGTAAATTATGCATAAAAAGGGACTGTTGGGTAGCTCATCATTGTAAATAGCAATCTCGTCAACCTCTTTTTAGCCTATAACTAATGAAGATTATATTCTTTTGCAAACAGGTTGGAACAAAAAAGGAAACAGTTTATTTAAATATCTTTTTTTTTTTTTTGGCAATTTCCATGCTAAGAATTTATACAAAAAAGAATGACCTTAAAAATCTTTAAGCTATCACATCATTTTTTATTTTCATGTACTTGCCTTTTAGCTCTTCAAGTTATTAAGAGAACTTTATCAGGCACTAATTTAAATGATGCGTTTTACCCATATTCACATTCATGTGACTAATCCCATGTGAAAGAACATGAATCAAATGCTGGGAATAACTGAACCAATTATAGCTAATAACTGAAAAGTGCAAGTTATTTTTGAACTATTCCCCATTTACTTTTTAAAATATAAACACTTTAAAAGAATAAAATTCTATAAATCAACAAATGCACATTTGGAGTATTTTTTAAAGAAAGAAACTTATAACAAATATTTGATCTTGAGGGTCTTATGCCCATTTATTACATCTATTTTATTCCATTTCAGAATTTAGAAAAAAGTTATAATGGGTTACTCCTACTCTTAAAAACTATAAAACGTTCATGTTGAGTTACAATGCTAAGGTCTGTATTTATACACAAATGCAAGGTCAAGAAGTTAAGAAGACGCCAAAACACTTGCTTACATTCTATTGATATGAACAGGCAATAGCTCTGAACTATTCCAAAAATAGATGGAGTTCTACCAATATATGTTCATTGCTTTCTCACCTCTGTTATCTTTTTCCAATCTGCTCCTTGCTTCACTTGCTGTGCCCCAAACATAGCTGCCTTTCGCTGAAGCTCTTGTTCTATTTGGAGTGTTTCTAAATGCTGACTTAATGTGGCCCCACCACTGACATCAGAATTACATTTGGTCCAATTATCCTGGAAGCACTTAGAATTTTGTAATGCAGACCCTGTTGATGTCTCATAGGTTTTCAGCAGCTTTTCCACAACACCATAATTTGACTTAGGATCAGCTGATCTTGGTCGGCCAGACAAATTACTTGGTCTCCAGTCATGCTCGTGGAGCATGTTCCGATAACTGCTAGGACTTATGTGTTCTTGCTTTGATCTGACTAGGCCTGTTGTAGATTTTTTGGTGGGATTATCAGGCACATTTTCCCTGGGCACAGGCAGGTGGGCACTGGTTTTCAGAATATCAGATACATTGTCATCTTCTGATATGTTACCTATATGAGTAATTAAGGTATCACAGGGCTTACGATCTTCAGATGATTCTGAGTAGCTTTGATTTTGCTGTATTGCATGACAATGTCTATCTGTTCTAAATACAGTTCTGTTAAATTCATCAGTCTTCACTGCTAGCTTTTCATTCCTAGCAGACTTTTCAAAGCCACAACTGAAACTTCTAAGTGGGCCACTGCTCTGTGTCACTGAAGCACTATAGTCATTGCTTATATGAAGATCAGGATGAGATTTAGCAGGATGATCTGGGATCATCTTTTCATATTCATATTTTGGCTTATTGGGAGCAGAGCAGGTTTTCTGAAACCATGATGTAGAGGGACTATTTTTGGTACTTTTCCCAACGTCGAATGCCCACACGCTAAGTCCAACACTTTCATTATATGGAGGCTTGTTATCTATTTTGGCTTCTGGTGCCAGAGAAGAAAACATGATACCATCTTTCAAAGACTTCCCTTCATTTAGACACAGCATAGGCATCTCATTGCGCCTCAAAAGGAAATGAGGATTGCAGTTCCTTTCACCTTGACCCCCTTGGGCTACCCGGCTGTTGTGGTCTAAACTCTCCTTCAGACTTTCATGGGCTTGTTCAGAATATGGGCTGGGAAAATTTCGAGATGTGCTTCTTGGAGGAGGAACTGGTGGAGTTTCATTTCTTGGCAGATCAATTGTATCAATTCCACATTTTTTCACAGAATTGCTTTGGAGCACACTGGTACAGTTTAGTTTCTTTCTATTTTTCGGTTTGTCTTTTTCTAAATTGATTGGAAGAATGCACTGGCCATCACTGATCATGTGGTCTCCATGAGGCATACTAATTACCCTTGGCATTTCCTGGAGAAAAGAGTCTGACTTCATCCTAAATGATTATAAAACATGGTATATATTAGTAATAAATTTATTTAGGAGAGGCTCTTAAAAGAAACCATAGCTTAAGCAATGGATTTCTGCTTTAGGAAAAGGAGTTACAACTTCCTTAAACATCATTTCTCTGTAAATCCCCTAGTCAAAACCTCCAAGTCCCTTACACTGTAGGGCAAAGTCCACCTCAGTGTTGCATTCAAGGCTTTACCTACTCTGACTCAAACTATCTTTCCAAGCTTGTCTCTCATTCTGTCTATTATCTGAAACTTCATCTACAATCAGACTAGACTCTGCAGTCTCTTGGGTGTCTGCTATTGACATTCCCATTTCCATGGGGTTTTTTTCCTGCCATTTCTTTACCTCAACTCTGCCTACTGAATTCCTACTCCTTATGTCATGTGAGTTCAAGTTCTTCTCCCTGAATTTGAAATAACATTCTAAGTAGTATGACAGAAATCTGAATAAAAGTGCAATGAGACATGAATAATACTAAACGCAGGGTTTCATTTGGGGTTGAAAGTAAAGTAAGAATTTTTTGGGTGAGTGGAGTAGAAGGTGTATAGGCAAAGTGAGCTGTAATAAAAACTGTGTGGTTATTCAAGGAACACTGAGTAGTTTGGTGTGGAGGGATTAGAAAGGAGGGTGGGGAGGATGAAGGAATAGAAGAGACAAACACGAGGTTAAATTGGAATGTCTTTGAATTACGTATTAAGGATTCTGAACTTTTTTCTAAAGGTCGTGGAGCAACGAGGAGCATATTATACCAAGTGTGACTTGTAAAAGAAAATTGGCAAGTAAGTCTTTTTCTGAGTTCACTCAAAATAAAAACCTATGGGTCAGTCCGGTGGCACAGCAGTTAAGTTTGCACATTCCGCTTTGGCGGCCCGGGGTTCACCGGTTTGGATCCCGGGTGCCGACCTATGCACCGCTTGTCAAGCTATGCTGTGGCAGGCGTCCCACATATAAAGTAGAGGAAGATGGGCATGGATGTTAGCTCAGGGCCAGTCTTCCTCAAAAACAAAATAAATAAATAAAAACCTAAATATAGCAGCAATATGGATTCAAAAATGAAAGTTAATTAATCATATTGATAAATATAAATCATATTTATATGTTTTCAACTTATAGAATATTCTGAGAAAGCTTACAATAAATAGATAAGTATGCATTAACAGAGAATAGGAGGAAAAAACTAAATGGACAAGTAGACGGTAAAATAATGTATAAAACATGGTTGGATAAGAAAATCTATTGTTTAAGTCAGTACAAAAATTCTCCCTGAGCTTCCTAAGAGCTAAAGAAAAATAAGGGTACACATTGTTGTAGCTTTCAAAGAGAAAAGCATACTGCCTCACTGGGAGATAGATGTTGATCCTAGAACAATCCACCTTTACTTAACTTGTAGAAAATTCCAAGTTATTTTTTAATTTGGCTAAAGCTTGCTTTGACAATTATATAAGTGTTTCTGAACTGAAGCTTTTTATACCATTGTACATATGTGTGTACATACTTACAATATGTTGTTCTGAAAATTATGTATGCTTCCATTATATACATAATGAATGTAAAGAAATAAATAACTCTTACGTATAAAATATTTCAGTAGAACATCATTATGTAATTAAAACACCACATTGTTAAATCTGACATAGTTTAAAGATGTATTTAACTGGATTAACCCTGCTGTATACTTTTCCACTGGCGAAATACTCAAAATTAAAAGGAACTACATTAGAAGATGCTTGCGAATTTATCATGGAGGTACCTCCTGACTAAACAACAAATGGGTAAAGCATTCCTAATAGCCAAATTGCAAAGAGAATTAGAAAATTTGCTTGAAGAACTAGTGAACAGAGAAATACACACTGAAAAGTTTTATCTTCTACGATGGATTTTAATAACTCATTGTTAATTCTCACTAAGTGTGTGGAAGAGGCAGTTTGGATTCATTAATTGAAAATAATATTTTTTCTTAATTTTCCAAATAATCATAGATATACCGGCCTACCTTCTGTGGTTAGATTGCTTTCGAATTTCCTCTTGAAAGCTGCATAATTCTTCACTAACTTTGGCAAGTTCTTCAAGAGCCTTTACATATAAGCAATAGCATGTTAGCACTTTGAAATGTAAATATTTCCTTAGCAAGAGTTCTAGGCCAATCACATCTTACTTACTGTGGTGAGGGCGCCAGAACAGCTCTTGCTCTCTTCCTCAGAAGTCCTCAGGTCAGGCCAGGCCTCACATTCCTTTTGGTTGTCTGTGGCCAAAGGATCCATGAACACGACTTTTGATTTTTTTCTTGCTGTTTGTTCCTTACACATTTGATTTCCTTCACTGAGTAAGCTCTGCTCTGTTTCATTTCCTTTTTCCAGATCATCCCTGTGATTCATCCCTGTAAATTCACGTTGTCCACAATTGGGGTAATTTGAAGACGATTTTACCAGTTGTTCTTGAATGGCTTTCTTATGATCAAGATCAATGATCTTAGCACGTTCACTCATGTTGATTTTCCTCCGAAGATTTACTTCACGGCAAAGCTGTAAGAAAAACAAAGAAAAAACTTTTTCTGCCCCCTAATTCACTCTGTCAATATTTTTTATACTAAGCACACTGTTGTGAGGGTCTTTTTGCTATAGTACTATATGCTGCCCCGGGTATTAATGCTTATGCCTCTGAACAGTGCTTCTAAAATTTGGATTAGCTGAAACAGTTTGATGAACCATAAAGGCTATTTTTAGTAGGTCAAAGCATGGATGGTAATTTCTATCTTTCGGAGTAGAAAGAAACTCCTTTAAAAATAAAATAAGCCTGTATCTATATATAGATGTCATGATGATACAGAAGCAGTCACAAAATTGAACGACCTGAATCAATTACTGGCCATGCTCTCTAATTGCTTTCAGAGAGAAGCAAGAATTTAACTAATATTACAGTCCTGTTTTTGAAATATATGGTCCTACTCGTATGCCAATTTAACTGTTGAGAATCTCATATGTTAAATCAGTTCACTGTTTTCTAAATACACGTTTTACAATCAAAGGATGTTTCCTTTGGAAGTTACCTTGGTAAGAGCTGGATATTACTGTGATTTTTTTAATGCCAAGGCTATACCCATTCTAAAAAAGCTCCTCACCCTGACTAAAACAAATGTGACCCCCTAAGTGATATAATAGAACTCTAAAGCTTTGACAATCTATCAATCTATCTTAAAGTAGACTCCAAATTATCTCTTGATGAGGGCTTAGTTTAACCTGCAGGCACTCTTTCAGCTCACCCCTGAAGAGAGGAATGACTGGTTTTTTTTTTTTTTTTTTTTTTTTTTGAGGAAGATTAGCCCTGAGCTAACATCTGCCAATCCTCCTCTTTTTGTTGAGGAAGACTGGTCCTGGGCTAACATCCATGCCCATCTTCCTCTACTTTATATGTGGGACGCCTACCACAGCATGGCTTTTGCCAAGTGGTGCCATGTCCGCACCCAGGATCCGAACCGCGGAACCCCGGGCCACTGAGAAGCGGAACGTGTGAACTTAACCGCTGCGTCACAGGGCCGGCCCCAGAGGGATGACTGGCTTTTTCTTTGAGTTCTGGGAAAGCTTGTCAAATTTCAAAGGAGACTGTCAGAAAACTATTGAAGCACATGACTCTACATTTTAAATCCACAACTTATATCTGCACCACATCTATTATTCAAGGAATATAATACAGATTTATTGCTGCTCAATATTTACTCAAATCTCAGGTGAGAGAAGCACTATATACAGTTGATGCCTGAAGGATGCACAGTACATTTATTTCCTTAGATATTCATAAATCTATCACAGGATCAATCAGAATAGCAGCAGATTGCAGCCATGAATCAATTATGTTGTCCCCTGTAAAATTATTCATACTGAACTGTTGTGGGCATTATGATTTTGCCTGACCTTGAAGGATATTACAAGAAGCAACTCTCAAAAGTACTACATTAAATCTAAGGATGCTGGGGCTGGCTCCGTGACCGAGTGGTTAAGTTTGTGCGCTCTGCTTCGGCGGCCCAGGGTTTCGCTGGTTCTGATCCTGGGTGCGGACATGGCACTGCTTGTCAGGCCATGGTGAGGCGGCGTCCCACATGCCACAACTAGAAGGAATCACAACTAAAACATACAACTAAGTACTGGGAGGACTTGGGGAGAAAAAGCAGGGAAAAAAAAAGATTGGCAATAGTTGTTAGCTCAGGCGCCAATCTTTGCAAAAACAAAATCTAAGGATGCTGCTGGTGACATTGTCCTCTTTTCGAAAAACCATGGGTAAGAAAAAAATTTCTGTAGTTTAAAATCAGGGACAAAAGTACTATTCCTGGAAAATAGGTTTGCTTTTGTATTTTGAATATTGAGAAATATGCATCTGATAATTTTTGTGCTAGTTACTAGGAAGATAGACTTGCTGCATGCATTTCACATACGATCCTTCCTCTTGTCTTCATCTCATCTTTCTCTTCTAGTTTTGGCATATTTTACCTTATATAGAATTTTATATCCTATTTTAAGTTCTCTTGGGACTTAAGAGAGGTATGAATAAACAAGTAACATAATGTTATTGATGGAAAACCATTTATTTTGTTTAAGAGAATCTGTGTTACCTGGTACCCACCCCTGTCAATGGTTATCTGATCATCTGAACACAGGAGACAAGCAGGAAAGATTACAATGTGACTAAAAAAGAAATTCTGAGGCATCTATTAACTCTATCCAGGGTTTCTATCTGTATTATTCCAGGTTTCAAATGATCAAAGTATCTACATGTTGGATTTGCAAACGAAATGCAATGATTGTGGATAGAGGCTGAACAGAGAATCATTAGCATCTTAATTATCCAACGCTGGATCCTCTCACTAGATGATATTATCACTTGGAATCACCAGAGTTATGTGTGTGCACTTGGGAATCTACAATTCTCTAATACATGGCTTAATAATGTGTGTCTGATTTAATACACAGAACTTAGTGATAACTGTTAAACAGATATAGTCTATTATGCTTGTGGCATGTTATAATTTTTTTCGGGTGTTGATTTTTTTAGTTTAAAAGATTGTCTTCGTTCTCTGTGACATGTGTGGATACTTTCCTGCTGTCTTCCTTAATCTTTTCTACTCCCAGCTTTGCAGCCTATAAGAAGGGATATATAAAAGGTATGTTCTCACAGGCTACAAAGCTGGGAGTAGAAAAGAAATATATATTAGTATGATAAAGGGAGCACAATGCTAGTATTCAGATGAAGAGCATCATCAATGGGTATTAAGTGTAAGCACATTATCTAAACATATTCCCAGGTATGGAGCTGTATACTTCAGACAGCAAGACATAAATAGCATCACAGCTACTGTCTAAGAAAAAAAATTACAGCTCTTCTGTCTTCTTGATGCAGAAATGGATAGTATTTCTATGGACTATCATCCTGTTTAAAGTATGCTTAATTCCTGCTAATTGATATGGCTAATATTTACCATAGATGGACTCTACAGAGCTGTCAGAATAATTACTCGACAATAACAAAATTAACCAGATGCAGGTTGTTTTAACTACGTGGCTTAAACAATTGGCTAGACTAATTCTGACTCCTTAAATTATTTTGATTGGATGCTAGAATTATCTGAGACTGTTAACTACCCGGACCATCCAAACCTTTGGGAGCCAATGACCCATGACTTCAGGTTTCTAATTGGAGTTTGGATTCTGTTTTGACCCAGGCATCTCCTGTGGATCCAATCCGAGTGCCTGGGTGGAGGAGTTAAGTGAACAAAACACATTTTCCAAACTCTAGAGGGACGAGAAGTGGATTCTCCTTTCAATCTCTAATCGTTCACTACATGCCTGCCATCTCAGCTCTATTTTAGAGGAATAGCTACTCTTTTTGATTTTTCCATTTAGCATGCCAGTTTGTATTTTATTCACAACCAATTACATAGTTGTTAATAAGACAAATATTTGCACTATAAACACAAAGCATCAGCTTTGATTGCCTGTGGATAAAGGCCAAGGAGTTTGTTAAAATAACCACTTTGGCAATGTGCACAAAACCGTCTAAGTCAATACCATGGATGTTATCAGAAAAAAGCAAGATAAATATAAATAATTTTCAGTTGGAGCAAGATTAAATACACATCAATGTAAATACTTACAGAAAATATTCCAGGCCCAGCAGACTGAGGGATGGTTATGGGGATACAAGAACTATTTGTAGCAGAGTCGTGGCATGTCATTTTTCATAAGCCCTTCCTAATAAATGTGCAAATAAATGTGGCACACCCTGCCAGAATAAATATCATGTCCACTGTCATTTTCTGTTTGCTATATGATACTCCTTTTGATATGTAATCTCCTTTAGTAGACATTATTCATAAATCATCTTAGGAAAGACCTCTGTTTTAACGTCTAATTGTAATTTTGATAACATATGTTCCACCAATTACGCCCTTTTTACGTCCTCATCCTGGGCCCTATATTTGAAAACTCATGCAAAATACATACCTCATTTTTGATAAGGCGCTCTAGTCAGAAAATAATAAATTGATACACTTTAGAGTGTTATTTCAAGTTCTTAATTTTCAAGCAAGGCATAGTCCCTGTGATACCACTGGGTAAGGTTATGCTATTTTTGGTCTAGTAAATGTCACGGAGACATGCATCTCTTAGGTGGAATAAGGAAATTGAAATGGTTTCCAATACAAACTTAAACAGAATTTTTATTCTGAGCTTTAACTTTACCATGCATTCAAAACAAATCAACTTGTACCTCTTCTATTTTCTTCTGCATGATCTTCCATTGACTTTCCCATTCTTTCCTTTCGTTGTCAAACTGGTCCAGTAATTCCATCTTTTCCTTGTGCCAGTTCGTCTCTGTGTTCTCCCACTGCTTGTGAACGTCCATGGCAACCGCGTGAGTGTTAGCGAAGGCGTGTTTCTGCTCGTCTCTGCTTTGTCTTAACTGTTTCTTGGAAGCTTGGGGTTGTTTTATTTGAAGCAGTCTCACTTGCCTTTAAAATAAAGCCTAATATAAACATAACAAGAGAGAGTTCCAAATCCGTGTGCTTTCTGGAAACATTTCATCATTTCGTCAAGAGCCATCGACATAAACTATAGGAATATTGGACTCAAAAGAAGAGAAGAGATGACAACAATCTGCTTAAGAAGAAGAAACTAACCCAGTCAAAAAAATAAGTATTGTCCAAAGGTTTTTTCCCCCTTTCTGAGACCAGACAGCAAAATTATAGTGGACAAGATGGGTAAATGCACATGTGAAATGTAAGTATTCCTTTAACTAACCACCTAATCTAAAGATAGAGCTTTTCATGAATATCTAAGAGTGGAAGTAGGAAACTCAACTGTATGGTCATATCTACACAACTGTGGTAGATTCTGCTGCAACAGGTTTATTCCTTCTGTTCTGATGCAACCAGATTATGTACTTCTGTGACAAAGTCCTGAGACAGTGCTGGACTACAGCCTCCATGTTATATTCAGAGTTCAAGCTCATGCGAAATGTGGTAACTCTATTAATAAGACCCCAGAGCTGGTAGTCAATCTGGGATTGATGTATCAACAAGAAACCAAACATTTTCTTAACCATAAAAACATTTTCATTATTTTACTTCATCAATTAAAGTGTAAAAGCAGCAAAACTATCCAGGGAACTATGTTAAAAATTATCCATGCTCTCTTTTCCAATAGACTATAAATGAGAACCTATTTAGGATACTGAATACAGAGAACTGAAGAAAACATTTTGCTTGGTTTGCAAGGATATCCTTGATCACATTAAGCAGTGACTAAAATAATTAGATTTCTAGCATTTAGGGTCTGTGTATCCACGGTCTGCAGATGCAATTTAAAATACCAGATTGGTAACTCTGTCATCTAAAACTTCTGAGATTTAGTTTATTTACATTAAAATGGGGGATATTCACAGAGTTGTTACAAAGACTGAATAACATATGGGATGCAAAGTAGTATGAGAAATTTAAAAATTTTCCTTATGGTTTGCTTTAAAAAACCTTGCTCTGACTTCTACTGAAAATAAACTTTTATTAATAAAGTCAAGTACTTTTTTTAAAGGGTAGAACAACACGTTTAAAATGTTTGTATCTCTGTCTAAGATAATCATGCCGATAAGAAGTCTAACTCTTCAGTTTTCTAGGCCATGACCAAAATGTCCTAATTTACCAGGTGGCAGCTTATGCTTACTAAGAGCAAAGTTCCTGAGAGTCAATAGCTGCCTGAGTGCTGGCATTGTGGAATAAAGCCGATGTGACCAGGCAGCAAGCCCCGTTTCGTAGTCACACAAGACGGCTGGATATTTCATTTCCCGAATAAATGATAAACATTGAAGACGAATTTTATTTTTGTCACACTGTTCTGAACATGAATGTCTGAGTGGCCAACTGGGCCGAACATATATTTTTTGAGCTGCACTCTATCAATGAGTTACAGTAGACTAATAAGGATAAAGAACGTTAGTGCTATATGCAGGGCCCCACCTTCAAAAACACTCGAATAATATTGGGATCTATATTGTTATTCTTCTCTCAAACAATTTGCTACAGATACTTTGATCATTTTTACCTATTTCTTTGGCACTCACAATGCTATGATTAATTCAGCCAAGAGAAAGAATTTCAGGTTTAGCCATTAAACATGCTGGCATGTCTCATTTTATCCACTTAGTCATGCTCCTGTCTAATGTCATTTTCCATCCTCCCTGTCATCCTTCCTCCCTTTTGCTACTCTCCACACCTGTGAGCCAGTGAGCCCAGGTACCTGCTGTAATAAACACAAGTTGTCCCCAAATAAATGTGTCAATGAAGACCTAACAAAATGAAGACAGTAAAGAATATACAGAATTCTGGTTTTCGTTTGTTTTGGTGAATCTGTCATTGATGGTGATTACCCAGTAATCTTTTTGGTTCATCTCATGATTATTCACAGGAAATGTAGACAGTGCTTATTTTCAGAGACTTGCAGACTATTTTAAAGCTGTCCATAATTAACTGTGATCTGAAACTATCCATCTTGCTTACTAGCGGGTACTTAACATTGGAACTTCTTAGGAAGAGCGAAGTATTTTAAGAAATCAAGAGATAGTTACAGATTTAACCAAGGAAGTTATAGAAAGGAAGCAGACTAATTTCAAGCTACCTGGAAGAGGTAGTATGATATTCCATGTTTCTTGCTGTCTTTAAACACTGGAAATGTCCAGAAATCATCGTAAAGTTTCTCCTACAATTATGTAGCACATGGCTCCAATTTTTCTTTCTGTTTCTAACTTTTCTTCAAACACTTCCAGACCAGAGTTAAAAGGCATCTGACCCTTCTCTTTTTTACCTATCTGAAGATAGTCCAGGAAAACTCTAAATCAGGCTTGCTCCTGGTAACAGGACTATACATGAATCCAGGTAATGCTCCCAAAGCAGACACAATCCTGTACTTCATTGCAAAGAACTAAACTCATCACTTATTATGGAGAAGGGCCAATCTACAGAGCTTCCCCTAACCAGGGCCAGAGCAATATCTAGTGCCAGGAAATATAGTGGTTATGGATCGAACACAAGCCTTTGGAAGTGAATTCTTATAGAGCGATATCTGTGCCAATTTTTGTGGGAGGATTTATTTTGCCTTCTTTGCATCTATGTCTTGTCCTAAATGTCGAATGTAATATGGCTGAATATATTGCTTTCTCCTCTAAAAATAAAGTGAGGGCCATACAGGCGTTGTGAGGCTTAAATGAGGAAGAGAGAGAATGTTTAATAAAAGCGCCTAACCCTGTTTTGGATCATAGTGAGTGATGGATAAACGTCTGCTTCTTGGTTTCTTCCTTCTGTCCCTCTCTCCCTCCATCTTTTTTCTTTTCTTCTCCCCCCCCCTCCTTCCCTTCATCTGTTCCTTTCTCTGTTTTCTTTCTCTGGGACAAAATTGATGATTTTGATCCTTACTAACTAGAACATTGACAAAAACAAGTCTAATTCTGTGACCTCACATGAATTTTCAGTGATTTTTCTTTGCTTTCACTAACTTTCAAATATTTTAAGGATAAAGGGCAAGTTAAAAATTTAGGGATTTTTTTTTATTGTTAGTAAAAATTCGAACAGACAAATCTTATATGAAACTGCCTGTTATAATTCTCCTTAACTATTTTTTTAAAAAAACTCCAACTAATGAGGCAACTTGGTAGGGACATAATGTTCTACAAGGAGAAGTTACTGGCTAACGTGGTTCAGCAGACTCAAAAACTCACTTTCAGCGACTCAACCGAGGCAAATATAAAAGTTCTCTTTGTTCTCAGCCGTCACTCTTTTTCACCCACAGATATTGGCATCTATGTGGAGGAGCAGGATTTCTGCTATCTGCACCCCTTCTCGTGTCCCTTTGACTCTCCATTTCATTTCACTTCTTCTAGAATTTCATTCAGAATAAAAATTTATTAGAGCAAATGTGAAAGGATAGAGTGAGCTGCCTTACTTAGTCCTGCACACGTTCTTCACCCAACAACTCTAAGTTAGCATTTCACAATCCACTTTAACCTACTTCCCCCTCCCCAAGGCCAGCGGCCAGAACTGTAGAGTTGTGAGTGGGCTGCAGAAGTGTGGCGATGGGAGGAAAACAGTTCTGCCAACCTTCCGGCCCTGCTAGTAAGCAGAATTGAATGTAACACAGGAGTCTCACAATGACTCATTTTCATTCCCCACATTAGCCTCAATTTCCCTCGGTCACACTTCTTTGTCTGAGGGCTGTTCCATTCTTACTACACCTTGGTCATTACCATTTCAACCTCCTCTCCCCCACTGAAAACTGGACTCTAGCCAAACAAACGACAGTGTTAGGGGAGTTAACTCCTTTCCTACTTCTCTCTTCTGAGACTTTTGTTCAGAGTACTTGTTTCTTGCTCTCCTATTTCCTTTCTCTAAACATATCATGTTTCAGATAACTGGAGATTTTTCCTTTGTAGAAGATTACATCTTTGAGTAGCAATGCCACACACAGTAGGGACTGTCACTCTCACGATTCCTAGAAGAGTCATTACCCTGGAGATGCTTTGCTTCCTCTTAACTTTGGGGGATTAGGATTCCCATGCCTACACCCAGCAGAGTTAGGCACCATTTGCCTCCAAGTTTCTCTAGCCCTTTCTCCAAGCTACTCTGAATCACCTGCATCATTTTAACTGATTAACAGACCTTATTCCTCCCCTATGGTTCGTGGCAAATGCATCTTTCCAAAGAGAACCAGGATTTGATTTTGTTACAGGGCAAAAGGGAATATTTTTTATTACTATTTCTTGCTATTTCAGCATGGTCTTCATGTTCCCATACTGCTGCAATTGCAGAGAAATCAATTTCTCATTCTCATTTTACTATCTTCTCCTTCCTTGTTTTCTCTCCAGTTATTTAGTCAAACAAGAAAACATCCAAGATGTAGGTGCACCGATTTGACTTCTCTTAACTTATAAAATAGAAGCTTTGAAAGAAACTTTTGGCTTGGGTAACCAAATATCTAAAATTAACCATCTTAAACAGTAGATGATGTAGCGGTAAGGTTTCCTCCTAACAGCAGATAAACCCATTATGAATGGCACGCACTTCAACTCAAATTACAGAAACACCATGCAGCGAGCAAACCATCATCTTGGATGAAACTACATTTATTTATTTTTCATTGCAATTTTCAAATATCAGCCATCTCAAGGGCTGCGAACTTTACTTTGCAAATGTTAAGAAGCCCTCATCCTAATGAAAATAGCACTCTAGTGAATATATTTAGAGAAACCCCACAGTAGGCAAACTGCTGTTCAAAGTCTTGAGAAGCTGTGTTTCAAAAACACAGTCTCAGAGAGCGGATGGCACTGTCTGTCTAGAGTTGAGAAATCCACTCACAGCAGCTGAACCCTCTTTTCCCTGGGAGTCAGTGAAATCC